AAAGAAGAATGTTAGAAGACGGTGAGGAGGGGGAGGGGAAGGGAGAGGGATGAGAGAAAGAATATGAGCGAGGGGAGAGAGAGAGAGAGAGAAAATAGGAAAGGGAGAGAAGTGTGACGAAAGGGAGGAGGAAGTGAGGAAGTGGGATGGAAGGGAGGAGGGAGGGAGAAGCATGAGAGAAGGACGGGTTGGAAGGGAAAAGGATAGAGAGAGAGTAATGGGATGGTGAAGGAAAGGGAGGGATGGAGAGGAAAGACGGATAAAAGGGGAAGAGGGAGAGAATGTTTGAGGGAAAGAAGGGTGCAAGGGAAGAGGGGTGGGGGAGAGGAGGGTGGATGAGGGAGAGGAGGTGGATGAGGAGAGAGGAGGGAGGAAGAGGGGAGAGAGGGAGGATGAGGGGAGAGAGGGAAGAGAGGGAGGATGAGGAGAGAGGGAGGGAAGGAGAGAGAGAGAGAGAGAGAGAGAGAGAGAGAGAGAGAGAGAGAGAGAGGTGGGGGAATTAGAATGTAGAAAGATTTCTCCTCTTCATGCACACACACACACACACACACACACACACACACACACACACACACACACCAATAAGTCAGTCAGTCAACAAGTCAGTCAGCTACAGCCAGTCACAGCACAGTCAGTCAGTCAGTCAACAAGTCAGTAAGCAATTCAGTCAGTCATGCACTTAATTGGATCACCAGCCGCGACACCGAGACAGATCCTCATATTCTTCAAATTATTTTTTCTTACCTGGAGACGGGAGAGTAAGAGGAGGAGAGAGTAAGGAGGAGGAGAGAGAAGGAGAGAGGAGAGAGTAAGGAGAGGAGGAGAGAGTAAGGAGAGGAGGAGAGAGTAAGGAGGAGAGAGAGAGGGAGGGAGAGAGTAAGGAGAGGAGGAGAGAGTAAGGAGAGGAGGAGAGAGTAAGGAGGAGGAGAGAGAGTAAGGAGAGGAGGAGAGAGTAAGGAGAGGAGGAGAGAGGAAGGGAGAGGAGGAGAGAGTAAGGAGAGGAGGAGAGAAGGAAGGAGAGAAGGAGGAGGAGGAGAGTAAGGAGAGGAGGAGAGAGTAAGGAGGGAGGAGAGAGAGAGTAAGGGAGGAGGGAGGAGAGAGTAAGGAGAGGAGAGAGTAAGGGGAGGAGGAGAGAGTAAGGAGAGGAGGAGAGAGTAAGGAGAGAGGAGAGAGTAAGGAGAGGAGGAGAGAGTAAGGGAGGAGGAGAGAGTAAGGGAGGAGGAGAGAGAGTAAGGAGGAGGAGAGAGAGGAGAGGAGGAGAGAGGAGGAGAGAGTAAGGAGAGGAGGAGAGAGAGGAGAGGAGAGAGAAGGAGAGGAGGAGAGAGAAGGAGGAGAAGAGAAGAGGAGGAGGAGAGTAAGGAGGGAGGAGAGTAAGGAGAGGAGGAGAGAGTAAGGAGGAGGAGAGAAGGAGAGGAGGAGAGAGAAGGAGGAGGAGGAGAGAGAGAAGGAGGAGGAGAGAGAGAAGGGGAGGAGGAGAGAGAGTAAGGGAGGAGGAGAGAGAGTAAGGAGAGGAGGAGAGAGAGTAAGGAGAGGAGGGAGAGAGAAGGAGAGAGGAGGGAGAGAGAAGGAGAGGAGGAGAGAGAAGGAGAGGAGGAGAGAGTAAGGGGAGAGGAGGGAGAGAGTAAGGAGAGGAGAGAGAGAGAAGGAGGAGGAGAGAGAGTAAGGGAGGAGGGAGAGAGAGGAGAGGAGGAGAGAGTAAGGAGAGGAGGAGAGAGAAGGAGAGGAGGAGAGTAAGGAGAGGAGGAGAGAGGAGAGAGTAAGGAGAGGAGAGAGAGAGAAGGAGAGGGAGGAGAGAAGGAGAGGGGAGGAGAGAGTAAGGAGAGGAGAGAGAGAGTAAGGAGGAGGAGAGAGAGTAAGGGAGAGGAGAGAGAAGGAGGAGGAGAGAGTAAGGAGAGGAGGAGAGAGAAGGAGAGGAGGAGAGAGTAAGGAGGAGGAGAGAGAAGGAGGAGAGAGAGTAAAGGAGGAGGAGAGAAGGAGAGGAGGAGAGAGTAAGGAGAGGAGGAGAGAGAAGGAGGAGGAGAGAGTAAGGAGGAGGAGAGAGTAAGGGGAGAGGAGGAGAGAGTAAGGAGAGGAGGAGAAAGTAAGGAGAGGAGGAGAGAGAAGGAGAGGAGGAGAGAGTAAGAGAGGAGGAGAGAGAAGGAGAGAGGAGAGTAAGGGAGGAGGAGAGAGTAAGGAGGAGGAGGAGAGTAAGGGAGGAGGAGAGTAAGGGAGAGGAGGAGAGAGAAAGGAGGAGGAGAGAGGGAGAGGAGGAGAGAGTAAGGAGAGGAGGAGAGAGTAAGGAGAGGAGGAGAGAGTAAGGAGGAGGAGAGAGAAGGGAGGAGGAGAGAGTAAGGAGAGGAGGAGAGAGAAGGAGAGGAGGAGAGAGAAGGAGAGGGGAGAGAGGAGAGGAGAGAGTAAGGAGAGGAGGAGAGAGTAAGGAGAGGAGGAGAGAGAAGGAGAGGAGGAGAGAGTAAGGAGGAGGAGGAGAGAGAAAGGAGGAGGAGAGTAAGGAGGAGGAGAGAGAGGGAAGGAGAGGAGGAGAGAGTAAGGAGAGGAGGAGAGAGTAAGGAGGAGGAGAGAGTAAGGAGAGGAGGAGAGAGCAAGGAGGAGGAGGAGAGATAAGGAGAGGAGGAAGAGAGGAGTAAGGAGAGGAGGAGAGAGAAGGAGAGAGGAGAGAGTAAGGAGGAGGAGAGAGTAAGGAGAGGAGGAGAGTAAGGAGAGGAGGAGAGAGTAAGGAGAGGGAGGAGAGAGAAGGAGAGGAGGGAGAGAGTAAGGGGAGGGGAGAGAGAGAAGAGGAGGAAGAGTAAGGAGAGGAGGAGAGAGTAAGGAGGAGGAGAGAGAGTAAGGGAGAGGAGAGAGTAAGGGGAGGAGGAGAGAGAGTAAGGAGAGGAGGAGAGAGTAAGGAGAGGAGGAGAGAGTAAGGAGAGGAGGAGAGAAGGAGAAGGAGAGAGTAAGGAGAGGAGGAGAGAGTAAGGAGGGAGGGGAGTAAGGAGGAGGAGAGAGCAAGGAGGAGGAGAGAGTAAGGAGGAGAGAGTAAGGAGGAGGAGAGAGTAAGGAGGAGGAGAGAAAGGAGGAGGAGAGAGAGAGGGGAGGACAAAAGGGAGGAGAAAGGAGGGGGGGAGGACAGCAAGGGGAGGAGAGCAAGGAGGAGGAGAGTAAGGAGGAGGACAAAGGAGGGGGAGGACAGCAAGGGAGGACAGCGAGGGGAGGACAGCAAAGGGGGAGACAAAGGAGGAGGAGGACAGCAAGGGGAGGAGAGAGCGAGGGGAGGACAGCAAGGGAGGGAGGCAAGGGAGGAGGGAGAGGAAGGAGAGGACATGAGGGGAGGACAGCAAGTGGGAGGACAAAGGAGAGGGGAGGACAGCAAGGGAGGACAAGCAGGGGAGGAGAGAAGGAGGAGGACAGGAGGGGGGAGAGAGTAAGGAGGAGGACAGCGAGGTGGAGGAGAAAGGGAGGGGAGAGAGTAAGGGGAGGACAGCAAGGGGGAAGACAGCAAGGAGGACAGCGAGGAGGAGTGGGGACAGCAAGGAGGAGGAGAGTAAGGAGGAGGACAAAGGAGGGAGAGAGTAAGGAGGAGGACAGCGAGGTGGAGGACAAGGGGGAGGAGAGTAAGGGGAGGACAGCAAAGGGGGAAAGACAGCAAGGGGAGGACAAAGGAGGGGAGGGACAGCAGGAGGAGGAGAGAAGTGAGGAGGACAAGGAGGGGGAGGAATAAGGAGGAGACAGCGAGGTGGAGGACAGCGAGGGGGAGAGAAGGGGA